AAATTTTCAACATTGTTCGCAAATGTCAACAGATACGCTACAATCAATCGCAAATTGAACAAATAGTATTGAATTTGCATTAAAAAGCAAATCGTGCTCTTAAGTCAGACTTATTCAGGTTCACAAAATTGTTTAGGTTGGAGAAATAGATTAAGTAATGATAAAAAATTATGCAATATAAGTAAATATTTTTAACGACCTCAAATGGGATACCATGGCCGAAAGGCGTAAAACAACATGAACTAGTTTTATTCTTTAAAATGTACAATGGAATTACTCCAAACTATCTCTCTGACCTGATACCCCAACACAACGAGTCCTACCACCTCAGAAATCACAGACAAGTAAACTCAAGGACACAAATATATAACTCATCATTTCTTCCTTCTGCAAGAGCATGGAACTTACTACCTGTAGATACAAGAAACTCATCTTCTGTTGCTGCCTTTAAACGGTGCCTTAAAAAAAACCCAAAAGCCTCCCCTTCATTTAATGTAGGAAGTCGTATAGGCCAAATATTGCACGCACGTCTTCGTTTAGATTGTAGTTTCCTGAACTTTGACCTTCATAAAAAGTCTATTATCCATTCTCCATTATGTCTATGTGGCGAAATAGATATATTCTCTATTCTTTATCTAAATTCAAGACTTTTATTTAAATATTTTTAGTGTTTTTTTTTTCGAAACATTCTGAACAAAATCATCTGAAAAAAAACTTATTTAAATTTGTACTATTTAAAAACAATATTTTACTTTGTAATAGAAATTGTTTGGAGTAATCTCCCAATATTATGAAACAATCTTTAAACAGCAGTTTTCTTATTCTACTACTCTAGATAATAATGTTCTAACAAATTTATTCATTTTAATTATTTATCTGATTTCCCTTTTCTGTATTATTCTATCCAAATATGTGCATATTTTATTGCAAGGAAAGGAATTTACATAAGTCACATTTGACTTGTTTTCCAATCCACGAAATATATCAGTGTGATTGTATATGCTTACTGTATATATCTATGTTGTTAAATAGAAATAAATATTATCTAAACTAAGTTATGATGACAAATTAATTCTGGTGAACTCAACGTTACCATTTACTTTCGTTTACCATGTTAAAGAAAAAAGGCTTAATTTTCCCCCTGAACCCTGGGACCAAAAAAAAGGGCCCGTGGGGTTTTTTTCTCTAAAAATTTTTGTTTTAAAAATTAAAAGGAAAAAAACCAAAAAATAAATAAAAAATTTCCACCCAAATAAAAGTTTCCCATTTTTGAAAAATTTTCCTTAATTTAAATTTAAAATTTTTTAAACCTCCCCCTTTTGATTTCAATGATTACACAACCGGTTTTTCTCAAAAATAAAAAGGAAAAGCAGCCGGGTTTTTAAAAAACAAATTGCTTTGGAAATTTTTTGCAAACCCCCGCCTGTTTTAATGCATTGGGTTCTGAAAATTTTAAAAAGAAAAATTCGGGTTTCTAAAATTTTGGCTAAAATTTAAACCATATTTGTCTTCCCCCCAATTTGGTTTCCTTTTTGAAACCGTTAACAAAAATTTTCCCGAAAAAATACCCTTGCAATTGGAAATTTCCCCAAATTCCCCCTTTAATTAAAACCCTGAAAAACTGGGAAAGGAAAAATGCCCAATTTAAAAAAAAACAAAGAAAATTAAAAAAAACCCAAATTTTTTTAAAAAGGTTAGGGGGTTTTTGTGGGGCCCGGGAAATTGGTTAAAAAATTAAAATTTTTCCCAAAAATTCCTCCCTTTGCCTAAAAAATGAAAATTTTCCCCCCTTGGGTTTATTTCAAAAAATTCCCCGTTTTCCAAAATAAAAATTAAACCCAAAACCCGGTGTTTCCAAAAGTAACCCGTTTCGAAGAAATTGTAAATTTCGCCCACCCTTTTTAAAGAGTGAATTAAGTTGTAAGAAAAATTTTATATATGAAAATCATGTTATCATTCGAAGCTTATGAAACTGTCTTAAAGATAAAATCATGTAATATTGACATATTTTCTCAATATAATTATCATTAAACGAAAAATGGTGTCATTGGGATGTATTTATTTTTTGACGTCTAGCCTGTCGTAAGATTGTCGCAGTTCCGAACGACCATCGTGCGACAGCCTTAAGACCTTATAAGATCACTAGCGAGTGTTTGATCGCAAGGAGGTTTTTGTGCAAGCTCAAAAACCTCTCTACGACTGAAATTGGTCGTGGGACCTAAATAAGATAACCTGCGACTGTCAAAGATCATCGATGACCGTCGTAAGACGTTTTAAAGATTGTCCGCGACTAGAGGTCACTGGTGATCGTGAACTGGTCTTCACTGGTCGTAAGTTCTAGTGTGACTGGGGCTTTAATCATCTAGCTTCGATTCTAGCAAGCCTACTGTATGTTATAGTGCTGAATAAAAGAAATTCAGGGTAAATTTGCTTAGACTTTAACCCGCTTACATTTAATTTATAAAACAAAATTTTAAAGTTGATGACGCATAGTTGTCATGTACACTGTTATAATGATACCGTACAAATATCGCGAGATACCGTTGCATATAATTACCTAAATTCTCTTTAATAAACGTGAAAATGGAGGACGTAATGCAATAAATGGACATGATATAAACACAATTCTCACGTTGTTAGGTGTTTTTGTGACGACTGTAAATAATATTATCTAATTCGCTCTTTATGTATCTTCCGATGTCCTTGAACTGAACTTACGAGTGTGTTTTCGCGTTCAATATAAATAGTTTTAATGTTATATAAATTAAGTGATTATTTGCATTTAATTGCATATTGAAGGTAAATTAAACATAATACAAATTCATTCTCATCATATAGATCGTTCACATACTAACAAATTTTTACTCTTGATGAATGCGACAACCGGATGTACAAGTATACTGTGCATACGAAGATTGTAGCTTCGCCCACTTTAATTGAGTGCATCGTTGTAAGCAATTATATATAAAAACCATGTTATCATTCGAAGCTTATGAAACTGTCTTAAAGATAAAATCATGTAATATTGACATATTTTCTCAATATAATTATCATTAAACGAAAAATGGTGTCAATGGGATGTATTTATTTTTTGACGTCTAGCCCTAATACTTTTTTCAATACTCGGACATTTCCTATTACTTTCAATGTAGGATACGTTTAAGTGAAGTTTTTTTTTCTATGTTTTTACTGTTTTGTTTTATGCTGTTGTTGTGTAGCAGTTGATTCTCGGTAGAAAATAGTAATTGTGAACCTGTATAAATGAAAAAGTTCATCTGAGCGAGTAGATCTTATATTCGTAATTTATCAGGTAAGACAATGTTTAACAATATAGGAGAAGTAAATAATAAAGTAAGCAAATAGTCATTAATCATGCCATCAAACATCATTTAATTTAACTGTAATTGATCATAAAATAGCAATCATAGGTTATTTAATTATCGAAAATAGCACGTGTAAATTTTTCGATGCAAGACACATCGTTTTCACCATTTGAATGTGTAGTTTCTTTGCAACCCATGTAGAATATTTCATATTGACATCTCTTGCCGTTTATCTAGTGCACACACGATACTACACATGAATGTTCGCTAACAAGTAAACATACAATTTTAAACTCCCAGACACTTAAACAAGCAATTGACACTGTGCAGTCTAAATAAAAACGAAAACTATAATTCATTTAAGTGTCTGAAAAAACTGCCTTCCTGTTATTAAGAAAAGTTTTTTTAACAATAACTGATAACATAATTCCCGCCAAAACAACATGTCCGGGTTTATTACTATAAGTAGCTCTATAGAAAAATCTTGTTCACACTCTAGTGGCTACTGTTTTCATTCAAATATCAAATTATTGATTTTGTTTTTTATATGGAAGACTAAGCTACACTTAAAAATACAACCCATTAACCCATTTCCGCATGAGAATCTTTTGACAAACTGCTGTTTTCCTGTTACAAGTTCAAATTGCTAAATCATTTTATCCTGATTAAACTTGGCACATATTTTTACTGGACCATAGCCTTAACGGCAGGCTCAATTTTAAATTTCTTGTTACCATGGCAAAGAAGGGACACTTGAAAATTGCTAATAATCACTATTTTGCGTTGTGTTTTTTCATCAAATTGCAACTTCTCAATGGATTGAGACAGAGTCTAGGGCTTTTCAGTGTTGGTTACACGCTACCTTAAGATTGACCTGGGGGCATTTTTAGCCTTTCACAAGCTCTAGTTCTCTTGGTGTTGAGGGGTGCGGTAGCCCCTCTTCAAACCCCAATCAAAATAGGGCATATCCCCCACTGGCACCTCTTGATAGGGGTGGCGCCGAAAAAGTGATAACACATTTCTCAAACGAAAACAAGTGTTTTGGGACCTAAATAGGGCATATTTGTTCACTATTTGAGGCCTCAAATTTGGGTGGGGGCGTGAAAACACTTAAAATACATGTATAATTTGCAGTAGGTAGTATAGATCAAGCATTAAAAATGGTTTGAACAAATTTGATTTGCCTCAGAATGTTTAGCAATGATGTGTTTTTCATCAGAATAGAAAAAAAAGAGAAAATATTAATAGATAAAGAAAATGATCAATCATAAACAGATGAAAAATTGTCATTTTTAAATGTAATGATTTGCTGGCTTCATTCCCTACTACATCTGAATATTATTAAACTTGTTATCTGTGATTTTCATCAGGTATCAAGTATGCTACAAATGTTCGCATATCGTAGCCAACGGTGAGTCAAACCCATTCATGCTATGTGGAAGTGATACCTTTAGTTTACAAACTTTATGCGTCTTCTAAGTACAATGTAATGGGATAATGAAATAAAAGTTATTCCTGTTGAGATTTTTATTTTAATCTATAATAAAGAGCAATAACATACCTTTGTTGTGGTTTGTTACATTTATATGTGTATGTTTCGTGTTACGATATGCTAAATCTATGTACAGGCGTTTTTTCGTCTGTATACATAACATATAGATATAATTAAACGTAATATAAGTGAAATAATTCAACCTTTTAAAAAATTCTTTCAATGTACTATTAACTTAATTTATCAGATTTCCATTATCACGGATTTTAATTGTAAATCAAAATACGTGCCATTATAACCAATTATTATAAAGCTACCAACGCAAAAATTAACCGTCTGCTATCTATATCGTTCGTGTTTCGCTCTTTTGTGAACGTTTAGACTGTGCCATTGTATGTTGGGATATTTCGTTCCTGAAATGTTAAGATTTAGCCAATTCGGTTTATTAGCATCGTCAGCATAATAATGATGAGCGAAACTAAAAGTAGCTTGTTGATTTCCAAAATCTTAAATCGAAAGTGACGTTTTTTCTCTCTACGAAACATGGATTCGGAAACACTGTATTTTCTATTGATATTTGTTATAATAGGAATTTCATCTTACTTTGCATTAAGATACATAACGTTACAATTATTCAACAACGAAATCAGGCCATCGTCAGATGTGGATGACGTAAATTATAAACAAAGATCGCGGATAACAGATGTTACAACGGACAGGTAAATCATATGCTTCTTGTCATTAAAACCATTTTGTTTCTTTCTGATAAATGTAGAAACAATTGAACAAGGCGATGACCTCGCTCTATTTGCAATTGTGATCGTGGGTCGAATACCAGGTGATTGGTGGTAGTGTTGACACACAACTTTCGGCTTTTCTTTTCTCTTCAATCGTTTTGCTTATCTTAAAAAATGAAAGTGTATAGTTAATTAATTCATATTAACTTTGATATAAAACCTTCTTTACTTTATGAAACTGATGTTGAACTTTTACAGGGAAGGGCAAATGATAATTTAGCAAAAAATTGGCATTTTGTCTATTTAATAAAAAGCCCTAAAGCGCACAGTTTGTTGGGCTAATTGTCTAAATATGTTGATGTAAAAGAACTGATGTATATTTGTATATGCAATACATTATTATTAAATTAAATTGAATACCAAATCAAAGGGAATTTTGTTAACAATAATGATACACAGATGAGGAACTGGAGTTCTTCTAATAACTTGTAAGGAATTCTTCTGATAAATGTCCAGGAGTTTGTGGGAGAACTTTTGTATATACCGAAGAAACGCTCGTCAAAAATGGTAATTGTAATCTTTAAAAACAGAGAATGACAAGCGAAATTAAACTATGATGATTCAGTTTGTCTGACATATTGTACTAGATTTAAGTGTTTCTTATTAAGCATTAATTTATCATTTGAAAAGTATTAAATTGTTTCACATTACGATCCGAGCTCCCGACATCGATCCTTATTCTCTATTTTATTCCTTATTCAGAGTACGTGCATGTTCGTACTTATATTTCTGCCGAAAATAGCATTCGTTTACCTACTACCCCCGTACACTTGTCTACACCCTGTACATAACCATGCTAGATTCTGTATAAAAGGCAAGTCTGTTTTTAGCAAATTTTGCTAAAAGCAGCTCGAGTTGATTGGTAACCGCTCAAATACAATTAGAGGGAAGTCTATATTATGAATTAAAGACGGATTCTAATACAGAAACTGCGTTTTGGGCTTGATTTAGTGGTAAATTTCAACATTGTTCGCAAATGTCAACAGATACGCTACAATCAATCGCAAATTGAACAAATAGTATTGAATTTGCATTAAAAAGCAAATCGTGCTCTTAAGTCAGACTTATTCAGGTTCACAAAATTGTTTAGGTTGGAGAAATAGATTAAGTAATGATAAAATTATGCAATATAAGTAAATATTTTAACGACCTCAAATGGGATACCATGGCCGAAAGGCGTAAAACAACATGAACTAGTTTTATTCTTTAAAATGTACAATGGAATTACTCCAAACTATCTCTCTGACCTGATACCCCAACACAACGAGTCCTACCACCTCAGAAATCACAGACAAGTAAACTCAAGGACACAAATATATAACTCATCATTTCTTCCTTCTGCAAGAGCATGGAACTTACTACCTGTAGATACAAGAAACTCATCTTCTGTTGCTGCCTTTAAACGGTGCCTTAAAAAAAACCCAAAAGCCTCCCCTTCATTTAATGTAGGAAGTCGTATAGGCCAAATATTGCACGCACGTCTTCGTTTAGATTGTAGTTTCCTGAACTTTGACCTTCATAAAAAGTCTATTATCCATTCTCCATTATGTCTATGTGGCGAAATAGATATATTCTCTATTCTTTATCTAAATTCAAGACTTTATTTAAATATTTTTAGTGTTTTTTTTTCGAAACATTCTGAACAAAATCATCTGAAAAAAACTTATTTAAATTGTGTACTATTTAAAAACAATATTTTACTTTGTAATAGAAATTGTTTGGAGTAATCTCCCAATATTATGAAACAATCTTTAAACAGCAGTTTTCTTATTCTACTACTCTAGATAATAATGTTCTAACAAATTTATTCATTTTAATTATTTATCTGATTTCCCTTTTCTGTATTATTCTATCCAAATATGTGCATATTTTATTGCAAGGAAAGGAATTTACATAAGTCACATTTGACTTGTTTTCCAATCCACGAAATATATCAGTGTGATTGTATATGCTTACTGTATATATCTATGTTGTTAAATAGAAATAAATATTATCTAAACTAAGTTATGATGACAAATTAATTCTGGTGAACTCAACGTACCATTTACTTTCGTTTACGATGTTATGAGAGGCTATTTCCGGTGAACGCTGCACAACATGCAGTGTTTATTCTCTAAAATCGTTATATATGGATAACACAAATAACTATACCACCAGATTACGTTCCTATGTGAATTCCGTCTAATTTAATTGTAAATTAATCATCTAGATTTGATTTCAATGTATACACAACGGTCTCTCAAATATCGACAGTAAGACCGGTTTACACAATGGCTTTGATTCTTGCAAGCCTACTGTATGTCATTGTGCTGAATAAAAGAAATTCAGGGTAAATTTGCGTAGACTTTAACCATATTTGTCATGTACACTGTTCTTATGATACCGTACAAATATCGCGAGATACCGTTGCATAGAAATACCTAAATTCTCTTTAATAAACGTGAAAATGGAGGACGTAATGCAATAAATAGACATGATATAAACACAATTCTCACGTAGTTAGGTGTTTTTGTGACGACTGTAAATAATATTATCTAATTCGCTCCTTGTCCTTAAACTGAACTTACGCGTGTGTTTATTTCAAAATTCGCGTTCCATATAATTAACAACCGGATGTACAAGTATACTGTGCATACGAAGATTGTAGCTTCGCCCACTTTAATTGAGTGCATCGTTGTAAGCAATTATATATGAAAATCATGTTATCATTCGAAGCTTATGAAACTGTCTTAAAGATAAAATCATGTAATATTGACATATTTTCTCAATATAATTATCATTAAACGAAAAATGGTGTCATTGGGATGTATTTATTTTTTGACGTCTAGCCTTAATACTTTTTTTCAATACTCGGACATTTCCTATTACTTTCAATGTAGGATACGTTTAAGTGAAGTTTTTTTCTATGTTTTTACTGTTTTGTTTTATGCTGTTGTTGTGTAGCAGTTGATTCTCGGTAGAAAATAGTAATTGTGAACCTGTATAAATGAAAAAAGTTCATCTGAGCGAGTAGATCTTATATTCGTAATTTATCAGGTAAGACAATGTTTAACAATATAGGAGAAGTAAATAATAAAGTAAGCAAATAGTCATTAATCATGCCATCAAACATCATTTAATTTAACTGTAATTGATCATAAAATAGCAATCATAGGTTATTTAATTATCAAAAATAGCACGTGTAAATTTTTCGATGCAAGGACACATCGTTTTCACCATTTGAATGTGTAGTTTCTTTGCAACCCATGTAGAATATTTCTTATTGACATCTCTTGCCGTTTATCTAGTGCACACACGATACTACACATGAATGTTCGCTAACAAGTAAACATACGATATTAAACTCCCAGACACTTAAACAAGCAATTGACACTGTGTAGTCGAAATAAAAACGAAAACTATAATTCATTTTAGTGTCTGAAAAAACTGCCTTCCTGTTAACATCACAGGCGGCAGTATCAGTGTTTGGACACCCCACCCCTATCTGCCCCTGGACCCCTACTACAACCCTGAAAAAAAATTCAACACTCTAAGGCTTACTATAAGGTACCAAATACAAAACCACCGATAAAATTATATAAAAAAAAAATTATTTTCCACTAAAAAAATTAAAGTTATAGAAAGGTGTAAAGCCTACTATATGTCCATTTGCCAAACAATGTGGAACACGGGAAATCGTCGTTTCGGCGACTGAGGCGCATTCCGGCGGGATTTCGCTGCATCATTCATTAACATTAATAAAAAGAACTAGAATTCCTTAGTTTATGTAATTCAAGTCCAACGAATATCACTATCATTCCGATTTTTTCTGTTTCACGGTATTTTTTGAATTGTCGTAGCCATTTTGCAGTCTGATACCTGGGTTGAAATACGCGATCTGATTGGACGAGCCAAATTGGACGTCCAATCAGATCGCGTATAACACACAGGTATCAGAATCCAAAATGGCAACGACAAGTCAAAAATTACCGTGAAATAGAAAAAATCGATAGAATATTGATATTCATTGGACTTGAATTAAGTAAGCTGTGGAATTCAAGTTCTTTTTATTGATGTAAATGAATGATGCAGCGAAATCCCGCCGGAATGCGCCTCAGTCGCCGAAACGACGATTTCCCGTGTTCCACATTGTTTGGCAAATGGACATATAGTAGGCTTTACATATTTCTATTACTATAATTTTGATAGTGGAAAATTTTTTTTATTATATAATTTCATCGGTGGTTTTGTATTTGGTACCTTATAGTAAGCCTTAGAGTGTTGAATTTTATTTCAGGGTTGTAGTTGGGGTCCAGGGGCAGATAGGGGTGGGGTGTCCAAACACTGATACTGCCGCCTGTGATGTTAACATGAATTTCTTTTCTATTAAGAAATTGTTTTTAACAATAACTGATATCATACATGTAATTCCCGCTAAAACATCATGTCCGGGTTTATTACTATTAGTCGATCAATGATACCAACTTCGCGTATTTTGCAAATTTCGGTAACTGGTTTAACATACTTTCGGCATGATATAGGGTTCGCTTGATTAGAAACATTCATCGGTTTCGCCTCATTTGCATGAACTATTGAAGTTATGTTTTAGCTCACCTAAGCTTGCTGAGGGTGAGCTTTTTAGGATCGTCTGTCGTCCGTCCACACTTGTTCGTTAACACTCTAGTGGTCACATTTTTGCCTCAATCATCATCAAATTTGTCAGGATGCTTGTCTTTGTAATTGCTCGGATGAGTTTGAACATGGGTCATCTGAGATGAAAAACCGGGTCACATGAGCTAAAAATAGAAAAATCTTGTTAACACTGTAGAGGCTACTGTTTTCATCCAAATATCCCTGAAATTGGTATGATAGTTTGTTCTGATGACTTCTAGGTCAAGTTGGAATATGGGTGGCCTGCGGTCAAATACTAGGTCGAATCGCCCAAATATGGAGAAACCTTGTTAACACTACAGTGATCACATTTTTGACTAAATTATCATCAAACTTTGTCAGGATGCTTGTCTATGTAATTGCTCAGATGAGTTCGCACATGGGTCATCTCGGATAAAAACTAGGTCACAGGAGCTAAAAATAGAAAAATCTTGTTAACACTCTAGAGACTACTGTTTTCATCCAAATATCCTTGAAATTGGTATGATAGTTTGTTCTGATGACTTCTAGGTCAAGTTGGAATATGGGTGGCCTGGGGTCAAATACTAGGTCGCATCGCCCAAATATGTAGAAACCTTGTTAACACTACAGTGATCACATTTTTGACTAAATTATCATCAAACTTTGCTTTGTCTGGATGCTTGTCTATGTAATTGCTCAGATAAGTTCGCACATGGGTCATCTCGGATAAATAACTAGGTCACAGGAGCTAAAAATAGAAAAATCTTGTTCACACTCTAGTCGCTACTGTTTTCATTCAAATATCAAATTATTGATTTAGTTTTTTATATGGAAGTCTAAGCACACGGAGGAAGGTAGTCAAGTACTGGTGTAACTCTCCAGGAACGATGGTTAGGAAACTATCCGCCTATATGACTGAAATACTGTTGGAAAAAGGCGTAAAATGACACAAACAAACAAACAAACAAAAGTTTGCTTAATTGTCATAGCTTTGTTATTTATTTATCGATTTGATTTATACTTGGACAAAAATCATAAAAGAATCCGATATGTTGAATAATCATTATTATTCGGATGACATTTACCTTTACTTGACCTTGATTGGTAGGGTCAATTATTTAATTTGAATTAAATTGTCATTAGTTTGTTATTCATTTATATATTTGATTCAATCTGAGGCAGTAAAGGTCAAATATGAAATATGACCTTTATTTAGTACAAAAAATGTTTTGTATGAGTACGTTTTAATGTAATTTTCTTTTTCTGATGTGTTTTTTTAGAAATAAGGAAAAGTCAAATGGGACCCTCTTTTTGTGTAGACTTTTGTAATCCTTTGCTTTGGTTTTTGTGTTATTTCTTTTTTCTCAACAGTCATATCATGTTTTTGCCAGATTTTTTGTTTTGTGTTATGTGATATTTGCAGTAAACATGTATGAAGTGTCTATTTCTATAACTTTATTTTTAATTTCAGTTATAACTATCATAACATTTATCTAATGACCAAAATACATCAAAGTAACAAAAACGAGTGTTACGTCAGAAACGTCTTTCCAATAAATAGTAGAATAGACGTTTCCTTCTGTACAACTGATTTATAATTTTTCAAGGACATGTTAAGATTGGTATACAACATCTTTTGATAAATTTCAAACCGAGCGTTTTGATCTTAACACTGAAATAAAACGTATTTAGCACAATGCTTTTATTCATAGTGTAAATTTTTACATTACAAAAGTTCAGAAGGCGTGGCAGCAAACATAATGTCTAGCTCTGATGACACAGTGTCTGATGTTCCTTCTCGGGAAAGAGTTCAAGAAGAGAGGTAAACGACATGATTATGATATGATTATGAATTTATATTAAAATCAATTTTATATGTATCGCGGCTTAATCAGTGCATATATACCAGTCATTCTTTCTTACCCATCGCGTTTCTACACATTTTTCGTACTGTATTTGAGGGAAATACAAATTAACCCTTTGTCTGTCTGTCTGTTCGTCAGTCCTGTCCGTCGGCAGTAAATGGTTCTTAAAATTATTCTAACAGTACTTTTAAATATATTCATTTAACTAAAAACATGGATAGATAACAATAGCAAGATTATAGACATTAATTTTATTCAAATGTTAAGAAATGTATAGTTGTTATGGCATAATGCAAAATGGGAATAAACTTTTGAAATTATTTATAAAACTTTCGTTCGATTGAGCAGTAAAATCAATCCACCTTTTTCACATTTTCATTGAGCTAAGTGGGCGAAAAAAAAATCAGTTTAGTATTGATAAGACCACAGGTAATATGGTCACTACTCAATTGAATTTTAAAACTTTCTATAATTCCTTTAATTTCTCTATAACTTGTTAATACATTTGATTGCTACTTTTAACAAGCTTTAATAAACAATATTTTTATTTGTTTTTATTTCCCTTATATTGACAAAAGCACGCCCCTCTTTGCTTAGAAAATATAGCGAATTGTGTATCTTGTACATTTTTTTTATACAATTAGAGTCTAGTCTTAACATAATTCACATTTACACACTGCACTGTGCATGCATAAGACTGTTCTTTGTGTTAAAAATATTGGCCTTAATTTCATCGAAACATTTATATGACTTCTTTCCATCTAATTTATAACAAAAGTCTATAGGTTTCTTTGTTTGCTTAAGTTGTTGTCTTTAACATGTTTGTAGCATGATATCCATTGATTTCACATAAATTGCTTAAGTACAAGATTTCGATGAGTACAAGATTATGACTTGATATCACACCACTTTCTATCTTGCACACCCATACTCCATAAAATGTACATCATTCCTCCATTTCATTTATTCATCTCATTATTCAACCATTTATTTATCTCTGCATTTTACTTGTTACACGTTGACGGGCCTCATTCACTTCACATTTGAATTTGTTCATACGTATATTTACCCATGCGCACTATAAATTAGAATTATTATTATAGTAGTTGTAGATAGAGTTTTTATTATAAAAACTTATTTTCTTCTATGAATCCTTACTTTCTATAATTTTGTGCCAACCATGTTATTACAGGTTCATCTTCAAACACCCTATCCTCCCGAAAGAGAACTGTTTAATGTATATCCATGACATATATAATATAGATGTTAAGTAATGCTTTGAAAAAGCTTTCAGCTTTCTACTCATTCCTTTTATGAATTGCTCGTGGTGAAATAACGGACGGAAGGGAAATTGTCTGCCATGTAAAAATAATAAAAAGGAATTTTCCGGGTTGTGAAAATTAATGTGAGGGGCTCGCTGGATCACACAAAGAAAATATTATGTAAACTTGGGTATGTTAAATTGCCTAACAATCATTTATAATACCCATGCCCTTCATGATCTTTTTCTTTACAAATGACTTTTAAACCGTTTATAGTAACATTTGTTCCACATCAACTAAACAACACTAAATTCATGCCCTAAGTGAAACATTTTCCACCTGTGTTAAGATTTTTGTTATTTTATAAATTGGTGGTCCTCTTATACTTTGAGTATAGTTTTTAAGAGCATAGCCTGTATGTCAAACTGACCCGTCTCGATGATAGTATTAGATGAATACTTACATTGAACACCGCCTTTCCTTGTTGATCTTGTTTATCATATTTTACATAGGGAAATGAAAATCTTAGTCTCTGAAATTGATATGCATACGTATACAGATATTAGGCATTGTCCTGCAGGATTTTACAATAGTCCTAATAAATCAAAGATTAAAATTTCATTTTTCAAATGTTTTCATAATCATGATACATGTACAGTTTAAGTCTTTAATTTAACATAATCCATATTTATATGTTGGCATAGGTTAGAGGCAGAAAGAAGAAAATGTATAGAAAATGCTAGTGATCAACAAACTGCAACTGATGATGATACTGAAGATGAGGGAGATGAAAGTGATGACGACGAAGAAGAGGAGAATAGTGTAAGTTATTTACTGAGTACTGAGTAATATAGTAACTATACATGTAATATAGAGTATTGAGTTGATAATTTGTTTAATTCATTCTATTTAAGAAATGCATGTAGTTTTTTAAACTTTATCACTATGTTATTTCTTGAAGTGTTTAAAACGATGTTCTATCAGATATTTTTACATGAACATTTATTTGGCTTAGTTTGCCCTACCTTCTGTCCGATATTATTGGTTATGAAACATAGTGCGAAACTTTATACGTTTTTGGAACAGATCTTTTAGGTTTTTATGAATTTAGAAATCAATGAAGGTATACAATATTTTCTAACAGGATTTGCAATTTCATCAATTGTATTGGTCGTATTGACACCAAACATTGTATACATGTTTCTTCTTTCAATGGCCCGAGGTGCAATGCACAAAAATCGTCACCCTGCACATCTTATTTTTTGAGTTGTTGCCCTTTGTCAATTTTCATTCTTTAATTTTGTCTCGGCCAATTCTCCTAAAGTATAAAAAGCTTTGGACTTGAAACTTCATAGGGTGATAGATCTCATTTGTCATTGAGAGGAAATGCTGTGCAAAAAACACACAAAAAACGGTACTTTGTATTTCATGATTTTTGAGTTTTTGCCCTTTGTTAATTTTTATACTTTACTTTTGTCCGGATCAATTATCCTACATTTTAAAAGCTATTGACTTGAAACTTCATAGTATGATGGATCTCAATGAGAAGAAGTGCAGTACACAAGGACTTGTACTCTATCATTCATTAATTTTGTCGTGAGCTTTATTTAGTCGCCACTTTTTGTGTAAAGTTCGGTGTATGTGCGTCCATGCGTCAGTCTGCTCGTCGGTCAGTTTGGCCAGTCTATATCTTGCTCATTCTTTGAAGAATTACAAAGTAATTTGGTACACATTTTCACCATGATAAGGTTGAGTGTCGCACACAAAACCCAGGTCAACATAGCACAAATTTTCTCCATGTTGAAATGAGTTGACTCGTTCAGAATGAATGTCAAGGTCACACGCGGTCAAAGAAAATATTAAAATTTTGTTTGTTGGCCCTGTATCTTGCTCATTCTTTGAGGGATTAAAAATAAATTGGTACAAATATTCACCATGACTTGGTGAGGTGTCGCACACAAACTCCAGGTCCACCAAGGTCACACTAAGGGGTAAGCGCAAAATTCGTGATCAGAGCGTAAATTTTAAATGCAAAGAGGGAAATGTTCTTCATAGTTAGGCGGAATGTGTGCAAAAAAGTCAGGTGTCTGTAGTAAATGTTAAAGTCACATTTAGGGGTCAAAGGTCAAATATACAAAATAAAATATTCATTTGCAAGTTGAACTTTTATATACATATATGGATTTTAAAATAACATAGCACAAATGTTCTCCATGTTTAGTTGAGTTGTCTTGTGTATAATGTAGGTCAAGGTCGGAAGAGGTCAAATGTCAAATGAAAAGATTAATAGTTTAATTGCACCGTATCTTACTTATGCTTTTGAAATATTATGCTTAGTAGTCAGAGGATTTTTGTCAAACCCTCTTGCGCTGAGCTTGACATTGTTGACAAAATGGATGTTCAGCGTTTGTTTGCGTGTGTGTGCGTGCATCCAAAATTGTCCATACCATAACTTCTTTGCGCATGAAGGAATTTTAAAATAACATGAATTGAGTTTTTTAGGGACAAATGTTCATAATAAGACTGTGTCAAGCACATGAACTCGGTCATCAGGTCAGAGGTCAAGGTCACCTGAGATAATGCAAATCCTTGAGTATAAAGAGTATGTAATGCGCACCTCTCACCTCTTAGACATGTTTTTTTCTTGCTCTGAATCTTATAGATTTAGGTTTGAATTAAGACGAGCGGGTCTGTACATTCTGCTTTGCTGCACAAAATTGCCGTCAAGCTAAATATAGAAAAAATTTGTCCAGCTTTCACAGGTCAAACTGCTGAAAGGGTTTCGATGAAACTTCTCAGGTGTGATCAGTACCAACGCTTGTTTTGCATATCGCCTGCACTTTTCCCTTTACTTCACAAAATGGCCGCAAACGATAAATCCGGCTTTCATAGGTCAAACTCCTGGCGAGAATTCGACGAAACGTCACAGAAGTGATCAATATTAATCCTAGTTTTGCATTTTGCCTGAACATTCCGCTTAGCTGTGCCAAAATAAACATCATTGTCCGGCTTTCACAGGTCAAACTGCTGGCGGGATTTCGACAAAACTTTACTGGGGCGGAGCTGTGTATAATGCTGTCACGTTTCGCTTTGGTTCACAATATGGCTGCTAGCGCTGAGAAAAGAAAATCATTTTTACGGCTTTCTCATGTCGAACTACTGGCGGGAATTCGACAAATCTTCATAGGCGTGATCAGTTCCAACCCTTGCTGGACATATCGCCTGCACATTCTGCTTAACTCCATAGGTAAAAATGCAAAAACCTTGTTTAACTTTCACAGTCAAACTGCTGTTGGGTTTTTCATACCGCTGGTATATTCTTGAGTACATACGTAGGAGACATATGTTTTTGTGAAAAAATCCGTCTAGATTTTTAATGTTTAAACTCTTCATGTATCATATTGTTGTATTTGTTTAGGTTTTGATGTAAGGCTATATAACATAATCAGAACTAGTATACCTTTAAAATTCAGATGTTTCAGACATTTGTGGATGAAGCCAATCTTATACAGTGCACAAATGAATTGGGGGTGCTTCCTGGTCTAATGAAGTACATAAACGAAAATATTCAAATCTGGAAGACACGAAAATTGAAAATTGCCATCATCGGAAATTCTGGAACCGGAAAGTCGAGTCTTATAAATGCCATCAGCGGTCTCAAGCCTGAGGACAAAGGCGCTGCCCAAGTTGGTGTGACAGAGACCACAATGGAAAAGCAAGAATACGTTCTTCCGAGTAACGAAAATATAAGTCTTTGGGATTTACCTGGGGTAGGGACACAAAAGTTTAAGAAAGAGGATTATTTCAATGCCGTTAATTTAAAGGAGTTTAATGCCTTTATGATAGTGTCTGCCTCAAGATTTTCAGAAAATGACGTATGGCTAGCCAATGAGATCCTTAAACATGAGAGATACATATTCTTTCTTCGGACAAAAATTGACGCAGATCTTACCAATGAGAAAATTGATCATCCCAGTACATACAACGAGACGAGTTGCCTACAGAAAATAAAAATGGACATTGTTAGCAACCTTAAAAAATCGAAATTTCCTCAAAAGAAATGTGGGATCTATTTAGTCAGCTCAAGAGAATCTTCCAAATTTGATTTCCCAGATCTGTTGCTTAAACTTAACAGAATATTGAGTAAGAAAAGATTTGCCTTACGAAGAGTATTAGAAATTAATTTAAAAAGCATTTTGGAGAAGAAAAGAGAACTGAAAAAAGGTCATTTTTTCTTTCAAAAATGTTTACTTTTTTTGTATGGTAGTGGTAGAAGATTAGGCCATTTGAATTATCAAACACGACAAATGCACGAGAAATGCAAAATTGCGTTTTCCCTTGATGACATCACTATTGAAAATATCGCTGATGATATGGGCATGTCGGTGAATCATCTTAAAACTACAGAACTGGAATATTTCAAATATTTGGAGATACCATTGGAGGAAAATTCCTTGCCTTTATTTGATCGCTTTTTTGGCAATTACATTTTCACTGATCGGTTAGATAAGGTATGTGACGTGATGGCTAAGGATGAAGCGAGGCTTATTCATCTACGACTGAACTATTTGGAGGACCAGTTGCGGCCATTTTAGATTCCTCAAGAATATTCAGTGCGTTGTGTGTTGACGATTAACAATTAATTTTAGTTATCTGTACATGTGGATGTTATAAGTTCTTTATGTCAATTGTCGGTACCTCCTTTGCGATATCTACTAAAGCGGTACCCTCTTTTCAGATGCACAGGTCATTCTCTGGTGAAAACAGTTAAGCGACACGCGAATCTAGTAAATGTTCATTCTACTGATAAAAGCTGGAATGACGACTTAAAAAGTCATTACTACGGCTGCTACTTTTGTAATTTAGGTCAATATATGCGATGTCAAGATCATAAAAAAATAATGAAATATACCAATTTGTCCGGGGCACATCTCCTACACGCATAGAGGGATTCTAATGAAACTTCATGGAGCTCATTTAAAACTTTTACATGCAGTGAAGGATTTCAATATGACTTGGCACAAATGTAGACCATTGTGAGGCAAAGTGTCGCGTGAAAAATTCAAGTCCTTGTAGCCAAGGTGAAGGACACACATAGAGGTCAAATTTCAAAAATAGTTATTATCATTACCTCGGGATTCTTATGAAGCTTCATAGAAATGTTCACCAATATGAGAAGCAGTGTCACGTGCATGAACCAGGTCTCTAGATTAAAAGTTGAGGTAACACTAAGAAGTCATTGAAAAAATGCTTGTTCGGAGCAAAACTTCTACATTCATCAGGGGATTTTAATGTAACTTGGCACAAACGTTCACCAATGTGAGGCTAAGTATTGCGCGCATAATCCAGGTTCCTGCTTATGTCAAGGTCACACAGAGAGGTCAAAGTTAAGATAAAAACAGAAGATGTGTACATTTAGTCATCATTTATTGATGGATTGTAACACAAATGATAACTATCATGACCACAAGTGTGACACATTTATATCGGTTAATATTTGCAAGGTCATAGTCACTAGAGATGATAAATATTTCGATATTTTCCGGATATTGCCCACAGCATATCTCCTATATGCAATTCTATAATGCCAACATCTCTGTCAAAAGCTTTTGCGATGGGTGTATTTTGCACCAATGTAGCCTTGTTAAAGATTTTTTAAACCATTTATTTCTTTGCTATTAGCAAAAAATAAAAAGTTGAGCGTTGCCCCCGCTCAGCAATGGCTCTCAACGCTCAAAGTAAATCTGTCAAGAGCCGCATGCAAAATTTTCTAAGAGCTACAACCAAAGAATGTGACGAAGTCTTCCTCAGCTAACCAGTGAAATGTCCTGCGTCTGAAAATTTACACAATGTATACATCTTAAGCTTGATAATAATATCAGTGAAAGTTCTAAGACTGTCTCGTTATAATTTTCTCGCGATTGGCAATAACAATGTTTGTTAAGAGTAAACAACGCTTAAGACAACAAATTTATTATATGACTCTGCAAAGAGCATCTTGTCAAAAGTATTTCAAGTATTGATTTAAAAGAGAAAAAAAACAATGATGCATTTTTAAACATTTCGTAAAAAACGTTGATAAAGTTCTCTACAGTAGGTTGTTTTGTAATAAAATAGAGTGAAATAAGAATCCCCAAAGAAAGCCCAACGCGGCAAAACTGAAAATGTTGCAGGCTCGGTTTGATTGAGCCTGTTCATGGACGGTACTGTCAAGTGCAAGCTACCGTCCGCCCCTTAGCACCGGCTTAAGTGGAATTCAACATTTAACATGAACTAGTAAAATTTAGAATTTTGAAACACCCGCAGATGTGTTCATATGGCGGTTATCATGGAACCTTCAATGTGACACGTTAGTGCCATTCCATGAAAAGCTGCATATGGTCCCCAAGTAAAAACATGTATATATAACATTTATCTAATGACTAATAATATCACATATGGTTCTTACACGTGGGAAGAGCTGTTACATAATAGATGGAGTTCTTATGATAACTGTCACGTTACGGATTTTGTCGGTAAACTTAATTGTATACTGGAGAAACACATTTGAAAAATAGTAATTTTTTATCTTTAAATGGGGCGTTTGAGGTGCTAAATTAAACTTTAATGATTAAGCTTGCCTTACAAATTGTATTAGGTGTCAAGAAAAACTTTATTGTCCATTTTTCATCGTCTCTTGTTGGAATCTGGTAGTTTAGTGTAAATTTTCCGAATAACTTGCTCATTCGAACATATTGACCTTTCATTTGTGATCTTCTTCGTTGCCATACTTAATTATCTAATTATAATGGAAATTTGCAAACGTAAAATCCAGGCTAATATATTTATTCCCGATGATTTTCAAATATCACGAGTTCCTTTATGTGGTAGAGTTTTCACAATAACTTTTATTACTGCCAGTTTGTTTCTTGGGCTAAATTACGGCACGTTTTGGCGAATTTTATTTGTCAATAAGTGTGCAAATCATTGTGAAGCGTAGTACGCTTATCATTTGCACAAAAATTAGGTTATTTGTTGGTCTTGGGTGTATTTCAGTTCGAGAGATAATTTTTCTTATCTCCGTCTCTTGTGCGTTTTTAGCTCACCTGTCACGAAGTGACATGGTGAACATTTTTGATTGCTATTCGTCCGGCGTTTTTAATTTAAACGACATCTCCTCATAAATACTAAGTCAATTTCATCCAAACATCACAGGAATGTTCCTTTGGTAGTCAACCTTAAAAAATGTTCAAAGAATTAAATTCCATGCAGAACTAGGGTTGCCATGGCAACCGAAAGAAAAATTTAGAATATCTTCTTTTAACAAACTGAAAGAGCTAGAGCTTAAATATTTGGCATGAAACATTGTCTAGTGAGTGTCTATCAAGTTTGTTCAAAGAAAAGCTCTGAGGTTAAAATTGGCCTCGCCCCGGGGGGGTCATTGATTTTCCTTATTTGTATATATAGTAAAGATTTAAAAAATCTTCTTTTAAAAAAACCCAAATGGCTAGAGATTAGATATTAAGCATGAAACATCTTCTAGGTGTCTTCCAAGTTTATTCAAATAAAAACCAAGGGGTCAAAATTGGCCTTCGCCCCAGGGGGTCATTGTTTTTCCCTTTATATAGTAAAAACATAGAAAACCGTCTTTTAAAAACCTTAGATTTAGAGCTAAGATATTTAGCATTAAACATCTTCTAATGTGTGTCTACCAAAGATGTTCAAATAAGGGCCCTTGGGTTAAAATTTGCCCCACTGCGGGGTCATTGATTTTCCATATATAAGTATAGTTAAACCTTAAAAATCTTCTTTTAAAAAACCTAAAGAGCTAGAGTTAAGATACTCAGCATGAAATAACTTCAAGTGAGTGTCTAGTGTCAAGTTTGTTTAAATAAAAACCCTTGGATATAAATTTGCCCCGTCTGGGGGGGGGTCATTGGTTTTCTCTATATGTGTATAGTGAAATCATTTTTTAAAAACCACAAAGAGCTTAGATATCTTCTCATGGGTGTCTACCAAGTTTTTCAAATAAAAGCCCCTGGGTTAAATTAGACCCGCCCCGGGGGCCTATATACAGGTGAGCGATTTCAGGGCCATTATGACCCTATTGTTTTAATTTATACTCGGATTTTGTAGACTGAAAAAAAGCTTGATGCAGATCAATTATTGACTCACAGGATAAAATACGCTTTGCATTCAATACTCAAGCATGGTTACGTCATGTATACATTATTCACGGCAGTTTTAGAGAACATTAAGTAACTGTGCTATCGGTCTGCCAAAACAAATTACCTGTAAATGGTTTGCAGCAAAAACATGAAGTAGTATCTTAATTAAATGAGGTTGGGTCATCTTCAGGTATTCAACGGATATTTTAATTTCTAAAAGGTTTTAATTTTTGTCATAGAGACGTAGAAAATTCTATAACAACGATATGTCAATACAAAGTAAGTCTTTAATATAAGATATGTTTATGCCGTTGGTCGACAATGGTCATTTCTTTAGTCAATCGCATCACGTGACTTAATCAGAAAAATGTACGCAATAATCTTCCCCGATATGAATATTTCTGTACGTCACGAACGATGACATTTTTATGGTTCTTTTAATTCATGTTATTATGTTTCATTGTATTCCTCATTAACTGACAGAATATTGTGATTGCCCACATTATTAAAAAAGAGAAGATAATTATTTTACTTTCTAAAATATTTATATTGATTATTGCCATATCATATGTTCGTACAAATTAAATAAAATCTACAATCACGTTTGTAACAAAGTTCAAGATTAAAAATAAAATAAAAGTGAATAAATTTATTTGAATATTTTGACTGTACAATTGAAATAAATACATGCACTAATCTTTACAATTTAGACAGTACTTAACCGTTGTAATTATTCTTATTCAGTTGTTCATTTAATAAACACTTTTAAAAATGATCAGTCAATTTCTCATTCTTTGAAGTATATATATGATTGACTGCATGCTTGTCATCAAAATAATTTCCCCTCTTATCATTTTATCTGTTAAAATGTGAAATATTACACTTTCATTTATCAGCATTCAAACACTGTTTTAAGTATGAACATTTGCCCTGAACACATCACTATGATTTAAAGCAACAATTATCATATACCAATATGAATTTCAGTTAAATGCGGCTTGCTTTTTACTATAGATTTACAAAACTTTATGTCCACACAACATAATTGTTACTATCATTAGAAATAAAATTTGTCATAGTTTAGTTTCTGTAAATTCAACTTTAATGACTTCAGCATTTATTTGTTCATTTATTAAGGTCACTAATACTAGTAAAGCACTGAACGATGAAAAAATATATACGTTGACTTTAAGAAAGCAGCTATTCAGCTGATGGATACCAAAAGATACCAAAGTGTGTGTTCAAATTATTCTGTTTTTACAGTAAACTGCCAATATATTTGAACAAACTCGATTTTTTGCAAAATTGAGTATTTATTTCTTTCTCAGCGAGAAGTCATATGATAACTGATAACTGTATTTACGAAATAACTTGGCTATATTGTTCAAATTATTCTGTTTTTACAGTAAACTGCCAATATATTTGAACAAACTCGATTTTTTGCAAAATTGAGTATTTATTTCTTTCTCAGCGAGAAGTCATATGATAACTGATAACTGTATTTACGAAATAACTTGGCTATATTGTCTCCTTAGCCACCATATAAAAGAAAATGCTATCGTGCTGATATGACTGACTGTTGTTATATGGTATACGAGCGTGGGATTCATGCGTTGAAATCATTTGCTTATTCATAACAAACTTTGTGAGACAGAAGCACATACAAAATCAACAGACTGGAACCCAGGCTAATGGTATACGAGACTTAGGTGAATAATATTTTGTGTCATAGTTGTATAAAAATTATCAAAAGCAGAGACAATGTTTATAACCTATTTCACTTCCTGCTTAAAAACTATGGTTGAATTAAAATAGTATACGTCGCTATGTTAATTAATGTAATTAAAACTCTCAGGACACATATCACAAAATGCACAATTAGTCCTATAGTCCAAATATTAATTTACAAATTAAACGAGACTTACCTGTAAGTTGAAGTTTGATGTTAATTTTGTTAGTCCCTATCTACCAGAATCACATGAGTGAAAGGACGCGATCACGTGACCAGAACCCCCAGATCTTTAGCGTCAGATTAATGAGACTCATTAAAAGCAGAGTTATTACCGCGGGAGGGCAACCAATGGGTGGGCATGTGATTCTGGTAGATAGGGACTAACAAAATTAACATCAAACTTCAACTTACAGGTAAGTCTCGTTTAATTTGTAAATTTTGTTATCCCTATCTACCAATCAGAATCACCATGAGTTTTCAGAGTTTCTGCTTAAGGAGTCTCAGTTACACAAGTAATAAAATAATATAGATGTAGTTTTAATTTATGGGTAAAATCTAACTCGACAACAATTTTAGAAAATAACTGTAATTTCTGACATTTCAAACATGAAATATGTATATATTTTTACAAACAACATTAATTCATTTATCTTACAAAAATGTTTCTTTTAAACAGATGATTATTAACGCTTATCTGCTCTTATCTAACACAGACCTTGCAAAATCAGAATTGTTTGTAATATTTCTTTTATAAAATTTCCTAAAAGTACAGTCTGTTTTCCAACCAGCGGTTCTTAACACTGTTTCAACAGGTATTTTTGAGGATGCCACACTGGTTGACGCACTACGAGTACTGTGCGGTTTAAAAATGTTCATATCAATACCCGCACCTGATAACACCGTTTTAATCCATTTTCCTAATGTTCCCTTTGAAACACTTTTATATGGTTTTTGATAACTTATAAACAATTGATCCTCAGTTTCGCGAAGGGTCTTAGTTGTCTCTAAATATTGTAATAATGTTTTAACAACACATATATTTCCATTATCTGGGTATTTCTCAATGTATAATTCTGAGAGATGTTTTGTTTGACAACTTGTTTTCAATAAATCGCCGATTCTTATTTTTACATAATCACAATTAATATCAATATTTTGAACATAAATGCTATGCAAAGTTTGTAAACGCTGTCCTGTTGTTAATGCCAACAACATGACCAATTTGAGGCTCAAATCCTTAAGGAAAGTTTTACCCTCAGTTGTTGAGTTACTTAAATTATCCGAAATATCTTTTAACACTACACTGACATCCCACGTGCAATTATAGCGCGGTAATGCAGGTTTCTCATTATATACGCCCTTAAGGAACTGTTTAATCATTATGTGATTACCAATCTGTACATTATTTACAATATATACAATGCTAGATATTGCCGATTTTGCAGTATTAATACCAGTGTATCCTAATCCTTTTTTATATAATTCTGTTAAGAAAGTTATAACACAGGTTATAGCGGGGTTAAATGGATCAATTTTCCGTGAACCACAAAAGTGCATCCATTTTGATAAGTAGCTACTATATTGTTTTTTAGTCCCAGTTCTCCATGATGAAAGAATGAGTTCTGTAGCTTGTTTTGATAATCCTTTACCACATAGTTTTTCCCTGAGATCCTGAAAACACCCAGAACCATTTTGGCCATTCTGTGATGTGTTTGTGTGGGATGTATTAAACTTTCCCACACTGGAGGTAATATTCTCGGTTGATCCGCTGCCATCTGTAGTAACCGAGGAAACCATGGCTGTGTCGAAAACAGCGGGGCTACTAATACCGCTTCCGCTTCGTCTTGCTCCATTTTTTGTAACACTTGACCAATCACAATTTAAAATTTGTGCTGTTTTTTCTGGCCCTGTTCCACTTTTCGGTTGCCCATGCGCTGGTGTGTGTGTGCAACCCGGTGTTGGTTCAGGGCCCTTTTCCCTAAAAAATCCCGACCATGTGTTGTCCTGGAGTGTTGAGGTTTTGCCCCCCACCTGGGTCCTGTCTTAAGCTGTCTAGGTCTGTCATTTGTGACAACTAAACTTTTCCCAAGCTTCTGATTGTCGTCGATCTCTTTCAGACGCCTTTCCAAGTCTTTTTCATCACCAAATAAGTTAGTTGGCGATGACACATTTTCATATTCGTTGCATAAGCTCGAGTACCTCGATGATATTGCCGGCAGCAACAGCCGACGCCGCTGGGATGATAAATCACGATGCGAATAAGCTAATAAATTGAATGCGTCTAAGGAAAGATCAAATAACTCTTCTGCCTCCTCGGAATCCATGGTTAGTGTTTTGTTCATTATTTGAACTAAAGGAATCATTCCTTTCGTCAAATATCCTTGCACTCTCTGAAACGATCTGTCTCCCTGTTTCAGGTCTTTGCTGGTTTGTTTGCTTGACCATATTAATTTATTTACGACTGAGACTTGTAATGATGTACAGTTTTCTGGCCGATTATACTTCTTCAGGAGGTCTTGAACTTGAGAGGCCTTATGATCTACAGGTTCCACTAAACCCTTGTTGACTGCGGAGCCTACCACTTCGTGAACTTTTGGACCGAATTCCTCTTGTTTACTAAATTGTGCCTCAATAAATTTTAATTTTTTCAATTTAGAATCCGAAATATTTGAGGATGATTCATACTTTTGTTTTTTCGATGGCGGTTCTTCATCAGAGGGATTTTCGTCTTCGTCGGACGAGACTGGTTCATATTGGTCATCCGAAACACAGTCGTCCTCTCCCGTTGCTGACCTGTCTGTGTTAATAACATTATTAACCGCCGAGGTTAGTTTATCTAACGTTGACTGCTGTTGCTTATATAATTCCCTAGTTTCTTTATATTGTTCAAACAAAAGTGCTAACATGTTATTGTTCATGGGCGCGGCCATATTGAATCCCGTTTCAAACGGTGATCTCGTCGCCGTGCTGCATCCCGGGAAAACGTTTCCATGGAGACTACTTGGCTGAGCGCGGTTACATAAATTGTCCGGACTATAAATAGCTCCTGGCCCAGCGTGAATCTGATAAGCGCTGGTCACACTGCTTTCTGCAGACGTACACAAAGGATTGCTCATTTGCATATCCAGGTCAGCCGTACTAGCTGAGGTGCCTGGCGAAATGCCAGCAAGCACTCTAAATATCCCGTGTCTTGATTTTTCTCCATTTTCAGAATTTAATTGTGGCAAGGAGACTCCAGGCGCCGGAAAAGGCTTCAAAAACTGAAGAGACTCCGTCTCACCAGAGTGCAGATTAAAATTCTGACTCTGTGAGATAGGAACAGGATCAGTTCCTTCCGCCATGATATTAAAACACTTTTTACACGAACAAAGGCACAGTTAAAATCCGCAAAATCTGACACAAGTTTATAACATCCAATTCAAATTTTGACAGTACCGGTATTTAGTATTTCCAACAATCCGTTTTATATAAAATTTCACAATTTAAATCCTCTTAAACACTTTAAAATTTCCAAAATTTATGAGATTTTTTACACAGAGTTCTGGTCACTTTGAAAGCATCAATTTTTCTGGGGGTTCTGGTCACGTGATCGCGTCCTTTCAATCATGGTGATTCTGATTGGTAGATAGGGATAACAAAATTGCTTTGAATCATAACAAGAAGTTAGTTTTCTATAAGAAATAGAAGCATAATACGTAAATGGATATAACACTACAACAATAGATAATAAAACTGTTTTAGCACGTCACAGAAATCTTAATGTGTGCTACTGTCAGCAAATCTAGAAATATATGCATGTTCGTCAATTAATTAACATGCACAGATTTTGTAGAATAATTTTCCGGCTGATTTTTATAACTCAATAACGATTTTGAATCAATAACGATTCGATTCCAGTGCACGTGGTATAAGTTTCTGAGCAAATAGCATTAAAATGAAATGTTAAAACTTGCAGACAACTTGTATTTCACCGCCTTGTTGAAATTAAGTCTCATTGTTGACCATTCCGCGCATCAAAAATAATTGGAAATGAAAGGTCGTTTAATCACTTATTTCTCTTGATTGGTTCGAATCTCTGATTATAAATTTTGTTACTTCAGATATATGGAAGTTTGTATGTAATGTTTCAAAGGTATGCGGTTTAAAACATTTGTCTGGGTGAACATAAAATAATATATACAGGGGTACCGGAGATTTAAGATTTCTTATATAGGTAACACTAAACTCAGAACCAATCCATAACAAATCAGTCAGTATATAATAAAGTACCATGTACTTTGTATCGTCTGCTTATAAAAATCGCGGAAAGCAATTTGCAGGCATATCCGGTCCCATCATGAATGCATGTGTATATAGATTTGAAAATAATGAATTTTTCGACTTCTTTATTGAGAATCTATTTATATTTGAACAGTTACATTATGTGTTTAATATCACAGATATTTTTCTCTTGTCACAGTGATATAAGATCGTCCCTCTTCTGCCTTACAGTCTATATCAATGGCTGAAAGTGTCTGACCCCAATGAGAATGACTTTTTTCTCCTGTTCTATATAACTTGCACTGAAGACTTGTTTTCATTGTTTTACCATCCTGAAACTAAATATATATCGTGTTTATACAGAACAGGTATTGCAATAAGACGCGGAATGGTCTAAGTGTGTGCTACCGACTCATTTCCGACGGTTTTCATGTTTGTACTATCCTTAGTTTTCTTTAGGCTGCTAGGCTGCTAGACTGCTAACTTCACAAATTTCGAAGCGTCAGAATCAACAGAAAATAAAGTTCAATATCTTAAAAAATAAAGATAACGATATTGAAATAAGACTTTGAATGGTCTACGGACTATTTTTAATAAAGAAAAATTTCTTTTATCTATAATTTACACTGGCAATTCATAGATATATGTTTATTTAACTTTTAACCATCGCCTTAATCACTGTCTAATCGTGTCACTGAGTCACTGTTTCTCGCTGTTTTAGCATGATATGATATATATCTTTCACTGGTTAGTTTAAAACTTAAAAAAAACTAGATAAGAGTGTTATTTACGAAGACAGGAACAGTAAACATTATACAAACAAACAGAAACAAATAAAATAGACAATAGTTTTTACTTCAAGTGTAAATGGAATATTTTTCCTGCTTCCGCCTTTGCTGACGTCATATCCAATAGTTGAGTAATGTATAATATACGTTTTAGAATCGCTGTCATCTCTATTACCTCCAGCTATATGATCTAATAATGTCTGAGATTCTCCGTTTATCATAAGCCTCCTATAATATTAATTATAAAACATATTCAATTCTATGCTACGTAATATGAAATAACAAAACGCTCATAAAAGAAGCTACTCTGAATATATTCTGAAATATCTTTTAAAACAACAGGTTGATTGGTATTCCTCCTGTATATTTTTCTGTTGTTCTTTTAAATTTACCTCAGTCATTTTTCAGTTACAGTAATAAAGATAAATGCTTCTAATAGTTAGAGTAAATTGTTATCTAAATTGATTTATGTATATATTGTCAATTCAGTTCAATTCGTTTTAAAAGTGTATGTGAAGGTCATAAAATGTTGATTTTCTTTCCTTGATTAAACTACACTTTATTTTTTTATGTTTTTTTTAATTGTTTTATTAGAGCTAACATATAAATCAAATATAAATGGCAACATTTATACTCAATGATGATTGCAGGTCGGGTAGATACACTTATCTCATACTCCGTATCTGTAGTCAACTTTACAGTGACAGCCTGACCAAATCTCTCACCATCTTGTTTATAACTAACAACTTCTCCACTTTTCTTTTCCACAAGCCGTAATTTCACTTTAAATTCCGTTGTCATTTGTTGAAAATACCTCTTTATCTCAATCATTTACGTGATGCAGAGCGTTCCCGTATTTTATTTAAGAATCACGAAATAACAGTATCAAATTTCACCAATTTGTTATTAGTTCTTCTAATGCACTTGTAGTTAACTAAACGGAATCTACGTCTGCTGTAGAGCAGGTGATAGCTTCTCACGTGCGATTATTGATTCCGGATTCATTCTGAGATATCATTGTCGGATGATTCAACATCTGCAGTATTTTTCTGTACAATATGCTATATGATACAAGATATATTCAAGTCACATAATTGTAAAATTAATACATGTTTAGGCATAACCTTACAATCAAATATCATTTAAATAACACTATGACTAGACACTTTAATGAAATTTTCGCAAGTCAACATGTACACAGTACTTCTTAATTTAAAACATCTCTTAATGTAATGTCCATCCAATGCACTGAACATGTATAGATGTATAGTCATAATACATGTACTGAACTCTATAAAGAATATAAATAGAAAAGAAACACTACATACTGGTCTACTTTCTTTATATATTGTTACACTATAGGTACGTTTACATATACAAAACTTAGCGTGTATATAGAGAGACATGAAATAAAGATATTGTTCACTAGAATCTCGGTATGTCTCGTTCTGGCACGGTGACTTATATTTTACCGCGTTCTCATACTAGTTATACATTATAGAAGATCAACTCTATATATAGTACAGTATGCATGCTTTTAGATAAAGTAATATGGTTTTATTCACCAAAGATATTGCTACAGATATAACATAATATGATCCAAAAGATCCACAAAACAGAGCGGCGTTCACAAACTGCAGCCTCAAAAAATGTCCAATCGGAATCACAGTATTTAAACGATTTGAACCCCAACCGGATTTTGTGAGAAGATGTCAGTGCCATTTTCTGACGCTTGACGTATTAATATATTGGTATTTATATTGATATCGAATTACTAAAATAATCAATAACAAACGACAATTTAGTCATCTGCAAAAAACATTGCTTTATTTTGAACATTAAATTAAGAGTTTAACCAAGGAGGTCAATTCCGTAAACTGAACGTTACTTGCTGGTGATTGTGAACCCTACTTGTGAGTTTACGAATTTTATCTGTACCCTGACTTGTGAGTATTTTTAAAGATTTAATTGAGAGAACGTTTATCATTTAACGTATTTATTTGTTTATTGACAGGCAAAATGAAAGAATTCGGTTTTCTTCATTGCTCCCTTTCTCTTCAAAAAAAAATCGGAAACACTATTGTTCACAATTTTGACATAAGAACAAAAGCTTAAAATAACAATTTCTCAGTTTGACAACAATAACAGAAACATTAAAATCACACTCCAAAGACTTTAGAATTATTCCAAAAGAACTGAAAAATAAAATAAAAGGACTTTAAAAGCAAATGATATTACAAAACAGTAAAAGTTTCAAGAGAAGAAAGACTTGAAAAATAATCTCCAATCAAGTAATGTCAACAAATCAAAACGCCTGTTAAAGATGATCACACATCGCCAAAAGATACGTTATAGTACAGATGACAAGAGTTTAAGTTTAAACTTGGTGTCAACTGATTCCACAGATCCCACATTTAAGTTGTGTTATCAGGAGAATGTTTGTTACACGAAAGCTACTGTCAAGATCCTCAACTACAAATGATTCATCCAAATCCATCTGAAATACATGTATATGGCAATTTATAGAAAGGAACTGGATTTATATATATCTTTTGACTTAAGATCGCTTATGATAGTCAATGATAAACTTTTCAAGTTGTGTGAAAAGAAAATTAACAGGTTGTGTTAGACATTGGCAAGACTGTAAACTATCTAAAAATAAGTGGAAATAAACTTGCAAGAGTAAAAACTACCTTTTAGACATTTAACAACAATATGCAGGAAACTCCTTAACATGATTTATTAAGAGTGATCCTAGTAATAGAAATTCAAGGCATTGATGAGAATATAAAACAGTGTTTCAAAAGCATAATGAAATTAATGGTAGGTATAAAGTTTTTAACATGTTGAAATAAGTAATCTGCCAAAAAGATTTTTCTTAAGCGTTCTTAAATATTTGGCATGTTTCAACCACTTTCAGTGCTTTGATTCTTATTCCTACATTTGAAATAGACAATAGAGAATAAAACAAAAACAAAAAAAATATTTTATATTACATGCTTTTTGGTAGTTTATAGAAATATATCAGTGAAATAACAAACTGTTTTATCACTGTTTGAAACAGTGAAATTATCAATTTGATAATTTTCACTGTTTTGAATTTAAGCCCGTTACGTTGTTTCAATGAAATACCAGTGTGAACAGTACTGGAAACCAACTTACTAACGTGACGTCGTAAATGACGTCACGTAAAATTATTACTGTGCGCACTTTACATTTAGCATTATGGTAAAATGTCTTTTTAAACATTATTTTGGATATAATAAAAAGAGAATTTGTTTAGTTTAGTGTAAGATCGAAATATATTTTACCTCGTGAACATATACCTTTTGGTGCTCACTCGGTGAAATATATTCCGATCTTACACTAAACTAAACAAATATCCTCTATATCAAAGTGTAATTGTGAGGTCAAATTTATAGTTGAACTATATACTGTATTTAACTATTCTTACATGAACTAACTAAAGTTTTACACGGTATGTTACATAATAATATAATCATTCCGGGCCGATTTGGAATATTTTCATTTTCCCGAACTGATTTTGATTTATGGCACCGGATTGATTCCAGATATAGATGTTGGGCTATACAGGGTAAAAGAATATTAAAAATAAAGACATTACAGCTGTACAGTCTTCGAACATTCTACTCGCACGGAACATTGCAAACTTTTAGAATTTAATATACAACTTTATAAGGTTATTAACGTTTCTTTTTCCACTGTTTGAATCCAATATATAAATAACATATGGGTTTGTGGGTAACAGTAAAATATCATCCCGAGGAAAATGCTGTTAACCAAGGCGTTAGCAAAGGGTAACAGTATTTTACGAGGGATGATATTTTTACTGTTACTTACACACCAATGTGTTAATTATTTTACTACCCCGAACAAATATTGTATTAATTTGAAAATGACTGTAACAGAATTGAACCAAGAGATACAGTAACCTTACCTTGCACGTTGTAAGTGTACTCGAGAAGTTAATTGTCTTTTATTCTAAATGCAAATGATGATATCTACCAGTCATACACATACAATAAGCTATGTTTCATCATTTCAAAACACAAACCAATTCATTCGGCTATGATCTGTGGAATCTGATCCTATCCTGAATATTCATAACATGGTTTTTGACCATGGCCATTCATGATGATATCCCACATCTGTCTGTTACATCTGTTAAGCTTCACGGATTAAATTATTTTGTTACATGCCTAAATCGTCTGTTTATTCCATTTTGACACAAACATGATTATTCCTAAGCAAAAACTTCCACTGAAAACGGATGTTTACTGTTTGACTATTCAACCAAAATGAATTTACTGTGGCAGGATCTTATTTAGTGGTCTAAGCCCTATGCTTTCTGTAAGCGTCTGTGACTCATTTTATTTATTGACATAAGGCAATATACATATATGTTTAAACAAAAATTGTTGAGTGCCTGTCGAAAGTATATGAGTTGTTTTATTCTAAAAATTACATATTATACATTCATTTTTCTACCTATGCATGTCCTGTTGTTGTTGTTGTTGTTGTTTTCTTTTTCAGAAGGCCACTTTGGAAATAAGATATATATGATTGTTATTGTATGTTCTTAATGTGTAACCTTCTTTAAATAAAGATATTATTATTATTATTATTATTATTATTATTATTATTATTATTATTATTATTAATTATACATGTACTTTAAAATGGCAGTATTTACTCTAACAATTATTAAAAATAACGTAACATCTTAACAATGTACACTTGTGCAGTTCACGGGAGAGATTGTTGTTTATATGAGCAGGTCCATAACTTGGTAAGTTTATAAACAATGTATTTTTGTATTCTATTTATGATGTAAATACCTTTTTGTATGAATTGAGTATTTTATATTCAACATAGAATATTGAGATATGTGGATAATGTTGATTATATTAAGTGATGAATGATTAATGGACCACTTGGCACACCGAAGTACATGTTTTTCGATTTACATTGTATGTATATTACGTACTCTTTTCCTGATTATGTATTTGTAACATTGTTGTTATAATATATAATAATGTACATGATATTTTTCAGATTTTTAGACTGTCTTGTATTATTTGTCATTTGCTTTTACTATGTAATTGCAGGTCACTGTAATGCTGTATACTGCTGTGTATTATTATGATAGACTGACGTCTATTTGAAGTGAACATTGACACATATACAATTTTAAAAAAGAAGAACCCAGAAATACTTTGGTTGTATTGTATACATTCTACAAAAATAACCATAGTTACATACCGACGCGAACAGCACTCTGTAGGGTGAAAACAACATAATTTTCTCGGTGCCATTGTCACTCTTGGGATGCCTTGTAACACCGCACTTTGGGGTCAAACGCACTATGGGGTCCGACCCCAAAGTGCGTTAAACTTCGCACCGCACTTTGGGGTCAAACGCACTGTGGGGTCAAAATCGAGAAATTGACCCCAAAGTGCGTTAATATGCTACATATCAACGCACTTTGGGTTCCAGAGGTATAAAGGTGTAATCTGAGTTCTGCTTAAATACTAAATACTGACTTATTTCCGATCTGCGACATTGAAATATTTGAGGTGGAGTTCAAGATGGCGGTCAATACTTTAATGATGCTTAAGTGATAAAAGTTTCATTAATTTTACCACTTGAAATATCCAAAAATTGTGTTCATATAACAAAATTACGGTGGCATAAAAGTGACATTTGCATTTTTTTATTTAAGTTTTGCATACATATTTTTATTTATGTTTTGCATACATATGTTTTTTTCAGTTTTGCATTGATATATTTTTTTTCTGAGTTTTGCATTCATATTTTATTGTAGTTTTTCGTACATATTTTATTTTTTTTTTTTTTGTACATATTTTAGCCAATCAAATCAGCCTTCACATCTCATAACAGCCCATAGTTGAGTATAAAACTAGCACAGTGGTTCGGCCCAGTCGTTTTTTTGGCTGCGCAAGTCTGGTTTTGGCCGACCTTTTTCGGCCATATGTATTTTATATAATTATTGTTTTGTTTTTATTTTTATATACTATTATATATATAAATATTTGGAAAGGGCTGTTGATTGGTGATAAGTTATTATTCCATGAATATGCAACACTCAACCCCACCCCCTGAGAAAAGCGAGCCGACCACTGGTAAAATCTTCGCCCTACGGGGGATATTCAGATAATAACATTCCTGCCTTATGCCCCGGAACAGTGCATACATCAAAACACGATTCTTTTTTCACCCGCACTCCCCCCCCCCCCCCGGGGGCAAGGGAGGTGGTTACAAATGACTGGTGTATTACAATAATGCATAAAATATCTAAATAGGTCCTTATATTCCACTGATTTAAAAAAATATATATAATCATGTATATACATGTACATGTATATATACACTAAAACGTGTTGTTATCTTTTTGATACCTCCAAAAATGAAAATGTTGGTATTTGCAAATGGCGTTTGCAAAAGGGATACTGTAATTTACGGATGGCGAAGCGTTTGAAAATGGTGTTTTACAAATGGCGTAATTATCCAAACCTCTACTTTGCAAATGGCGTCATGTAAAAATATGTACGATAAAAAAAGTAAAAA